GCGTAATGGTAACACCAATAAGCTTTTTGGTAAAATCGTTCCTAATTCTCTTTTATTATGGGATCCATCAATTAAACCACCTTCCTCTAGAGGAAGAAAACGAGCAAATGCCGATGAATGGACTAATATTCCTGATGTTATTCGAAATTCAAATATTGTGGCAAATAATGTTGATTATCATGGTAATTTTACAGCTGAAATATTTGAAAATCTTTTTGATAAACTTTGTGCTAATATCAAAGAGTATTATAGATCAGTTGTAATTCACATGGATGGTGCTAAGTATCACAAACGTCGAATTGAATAAGTACCGACATCAAACTCAAGAAAGGATATAATGATCATATAGTTATTATCAGCATGCGTTAACATTCCAGAAAATTTTAGTAGAGCAGAACTTTATGAATTAGTAAAATAAAATAAACCTAATGTCCCTTTTATGTATGTTCAAATAGCCAATAAGTATGGTCACAATTTGTTTTATACTCCACCTTACCATTGTGAACTTCAACCAATTGAGGGAATTTGATCAATTGTAAAAGGTGTGGTTGCTAGAACTGGTCCCTATCCTAATCTTCTTACTATTAGAGACAAATTATTGCAAACATTTAAAGATAATGTTAATTCTAAAGTTATTGTTGAGTTTTGGAAAAAATGTCTTAATAAGGCCATAGAATATAAAGATTTAAGTGATGACATTTTATTAGTTGAAAGTGATTATGAAGATTTCGAAATTGAAGAAGTTGATGACTAGTAAAATTTTTTGTATATCTTCAAAACTTTAATAAAATTTATATTGAAATATATCTTAAAACTTGAAGTATTAATAAATAAATTTAAATAATCATATTAAATTTTAAAAAAATTTTTTTATTATTGATATATTAGTGTATCAACCTTTTTGCACCGGACCATATTTTCCTGTCAAATTTAGTTTATTTTGTATAAATAATATGATTAATTGTATCACATTATATATATTTCTTAAAAAGGAAATTTTATCTTTTAACAAAATTTGAGAACGAATTTCAAAATAATTTACACAAATTTTCTTTTGTATTTATATAACAATACACAATTTTATTTTTATTGCAAAATAATTGGCAGTAACTAGTTTTTAATTAATAATATATTTTTTTTATTCCTATATAGAAAATTAAAATTTTAGAGAAATCTTGCTGAATTTAATAAGAGAATCAGAAATTGAAGTGACAAAATTTTGATCTTTTAAAAGAAAACTGATTTTTGTGAAAAATTTAGTAAGAAAAATAAAATTTGCAGAAGAGGTAAAAATTTATATACTAATATTCTAATATTAATAATAATTAATTTTTTTTTTTTAATATTTAAAATTTGACTGATTTAAGAAAATATGGTTACTTAAATTATTAAAGTAGTCTGATGATAGATTTTCTTACAAAATAAAGAAAAATTAGAAATCATTATTGAAATTAAAAGGAAAATAGCTAATTCATTATATTGATGATGAATTGGAATCATCATAAATAAATTTTGAGAATGATGATAATTCGTTAATAGAAGTAAAATTTTTAGCTTTTTTTTTTTGCTTTTTATATTTAGGCTAAAATTAAAATAGTTTTGAAAACTATTAACATAAAGGATAATTTAAAATATAATAAATCTTTTTACATGAAAAAAATATCATAAAATATTATAGTTTAATTCTAGAATTATGAAAGAATTATTAACTTTCTATTAACTAATAAATAAACTAACTAAAATTCTTTTATAAATTACATCAATCAGTTTAAATAATAAAAAAAGTAAAAAGAACTATTTATATTAGTAGTAAATTTATAATAATAATTAAGTACATAATATTAATAAATAAAATATATTTTAAATTTGAATCTATTTGAATCAATAATTTAATATTATTTATTATTTATTAGAAATAGCTTAATAAGTAAAAGTTATAAAAAAGGAAAATAAAAATAATTTTTAAAATACAAATAGCATTCTTTACTTTAAATTTTTAGTGATTATTAATACTATTTATCAGAAATCAGCCAAAATAGATGATAAAAATCACAATATATATATATAATTATTCTTGACAATTAGCTGAAATTTAATATTTCTTTAATTTAGTATTTATTAATTTTATTTATTATATTTTGCTAATATTCTTTCTTATTTTTTTTTTTTAGATGAAATATTTTTTTAAAAGAAATATTTTTTTAGAAAAGTACTAGATTCTAATGTTGTATTATCATCACAAATGTAATGAAAATAAAAATATAATAATGATATAAAGTATTACTCTAAAATAGTTATATAAAGTGTAATTTAATATGATTTATAATACAAAAATTGAAGAAAATATCATGATCAAAGAATATGTGATCAAAAATGAAGAATGTACAGAATTAATAGGTTTTATCTGCTATCAAAAGTAAAATGAAGATTGATTTTTACAATTTATTATTACATTTTTAAGTAATCTTAGTAGAGGAAAAGAGTTAATTTTATATATTTTACAATTTTTATTATATTTATTAGGCAATTTTGGTAGAAAAAAAGGTTGAATTTTTGTCATTTTTTATATTTTTAAGGTAATTTTAGTGGGAAAGTATTAATTTTATATTATTTTATTATTTATCATTATATTTTTTAGGAGATTTTGAGGAAAAGAATTAATTTACATTTTTTAGATGATTTGAGATTGATTTTTTTTATTTTTATATTATTATTAATTATTACATTTTTGAGGTGATTTTAGAAAAAAAATGTCAATTTTTATTATTTTATTATTTATCTTTATATATTTTAAATGGTTTTAAAAAGAAAGATCAATTTTTTATTATTTTATTTATTATTATTTAATATTTTTAAGAAAACTAAAGATTTTGAAAGACCTATAAGTTTAAAACAAATAATAAAATAAAGTATTAAGTTTGCATTTTTTTTTTGGTAATTTAGGATTGATTTTTTTATTTTTTATATATTTTATTGATTTTTTTACATTTTTGAGATGATTTTTGAAGAAATTAATTATATTTAATTATATATTATTTATTTATTTAAATTTAGATAATTACAAAAGATTTTGAAAAGGAAATAAATCATATTTTTATTATTTTTTGCTTATTTTTTAATAGGAAATTAATCAGTGAGTTTTAGTAATATTTTTGTTATGATTTTTTGCAAATTTATATTAGATTTTTATTATTAATAAAATTTTAATATTTAATAAATTTAATAATAAATATATTGATTATATATATTTATTTAACTGAATTAATATAGAATTGCTTATTAAAAAATAACTTATCAAAAAACTATATAAATGAAAATAATTATAAAAAATAATGTTTAATAGAAAGAAAATTAGTTAGAAATATATAAAAGACATATATGATTATATAACTAAATATGTAATAGCTCAAATTATATAACTTATAAAATGTTATATTTATAGTTAGTTAACTTTATAAAGTAAAATGCATGTTGATTTTATATAATATATTTTATCAAAAGAAGTTAAAGATACATTAGCATTTATTGATGAACTTAAAAATTTTTAGAAGGAATAAGAGTAAGTAAAAATTATTATTATAATTAAAATAATTTTTAAAATATTAATTTTGCTTTTTTATAAATGAATTTATTAAATATTTATATAAATATTATCAAATTATATATAGTAAAATCAGTTTCAATCTTTAGAAGATCTACGTATTAATAATTTGAAAAAATTTATAATTGATTTATAGATGATAATAAACAAAAAAAAAAGATCCTAAAGAATAGATTTTATCACAATGTTAATTTGATTTAACTTTGTCTATTAATGGATTTCTTGAAATGATTAATTATTTTTTAAAAAAATATCTAGATTCAATGATTCAACCAAGTTGTATTTTACAAGATATATTTAAAGAACTTTTTGGTAATATTTGTTAATATAATAAAAGTACTTTAACACATATTCTCAAATTTTTTGAATATACTCTAAATAATATTAAGTGATAGTATTAGTTTCATCTGAAGAAAAAATTTTAATTATAAAAAAACTAATAATATTGGAGTTGATATTATTACATTAAAAAGAAGATATATTCTATAATTTTATTTAATTATTTATATAAATATTATCTAAAATATTATCTTAACAATTAGAGACTATTAAAAAATAAAAAAAATTCAGTAAAAAAATGATGAAAATATTATTGATCAAAAGCACTTTATCTAATTGATACAATTATCATTTCTTTCAAGTAATTTCTTTAACAATTTCTTTGTAGATAATTTAATTATAAAGAGAATTGAAATACTATAAAAATCACATGATAAAAATATTAATTAAAAAAATGTTAAAATTGCTCTTTAAAAGAAATGATGTAATTTTATAATAACTATATTTTACCAGGATTCTAATGATAAATTATTACAAAAATAGCAAAACATTATTAAAAAAAATGATGAAAAAGTTATTTCAAAAAATTTGAATTCAATTGGAGTACTTACTTTGAAAATCATCTTAATAATTATTAATGTTCAGAGATTTGGTATTAAGATAATTTTCTAACTCAATAACTTATTATATACTTGATTTTACAAAATATAATCAAACTTACTTTTAGTAAGAAAACAATACCAAATAGTATACACACTCTTTTTTTGGCTGATTCTTATTTGAAACCTGAAAAAATTCTCATTTTAAAAGCAGCTGAAACATTTAAAGATTTCTTATGGGTTATATATAAATATATTCAGAATTCATCCAAAACCTCCAAAACTAAAAATAAACATATATTGATGAAAAATCTAACATTTCAAAGGATCCTATTCTAGCATTAGTACAGCTTCAAATCTGAGCAAAATTGGATAGTGCTGAAGAAGAATTTTCAAAAATGTTTTTAGTGAGTAAGTTACAATGATTACTTTGGGCCTTTGGGGATAATGTGAAATACAAGAAAAAAAAAAGTTTAATATCTTTAACTTTGGATTACCTTAAAAAAAAACAACTTTCTCCAATGAAGCCATATCAAAAGGACAAATTTTATATAATAGTAATATAGTGAAGCAAAATTTATAGAATAAAGTACTTTTTAAAGACAATAAAAGCATGAAATGATAAAATGATAACTTTTCATAAATTAGCAAGAAAAAAAGTAATCATTGCAAAGTTAGTGGTCCGATTTTAATAAAAACAATTCGTTAATTTAGAGCTAGCATAAAAGGTCTTATTTTTTGAGATCGGCTGCTTTTCTATAAATATGTGGCGAGAAACTAAAATTTTAATATATTCTTTCGCTTGTGTAACTAGTTTTCTGATTACTGATCAGACTGTGTAACCCCCGTTTTATCGAAAAATTGATATCACGTGAGAATTTGATTGTCGCGTCACGTCTGGTTAAATTGATTGATAATCAAAATTGTAAAGTTAATTACCAAAAAATTCGCTGTCGTTTAAAAAATTTAGTTATATTTTTTCACCATTGCACCTCTAATCTGTCGACCGTTAGTTGCCACGCAACATCTCCTGGGTCTGTTGGGTAGTTATATCTGTTAAAGGATCTAGAGTGGTAATTCTCGGTGGGATTGACAGCTCGGCGGAGGGGAACGCCTTCCTACACCTGCTTACAGTTAGTTGCCACGCAACATCTCCTGGGTCTGTTGGGTAGTTATATCTGTTAAAGGATCTAGAGTGGTAATTCTCGGTGGGATTGCAGGTCTTGCACGTGGAACGTTCCAAGCAATGGACTTAAGAAAAACTCTTTATAGTTTAGTATAATAGTTCTCAGGTTTCATTTAACCAAGTTGAAAGTAAAGGCGAATTATGGATGACTTTATTATTTATTTGATCCAGGTGAACTTTTATTGATATTGCTTTATTATTTTTATGATATATTATATAATTGCTTCTTTACTAGGACGGCTTGTTTAGATAGAATCGTGTAGAGGGAGAATAGAGTTTTCAACCACGCCTGCTGGGATCCTAGATATTTTAGAAATAACGATCAATTATTTTGTTTTTGTGATACGCAATCAGATACGGTTCTTTACTAAAACAGTTTTTTGATTTTAGGACTATGTACATTCTTTTTTATTTTTATTAATTTAATTTTTTTTGTTTACAGGTCCAACGGGAGTATTAACCTTCACTTTAAGGAAGGAGGCTCGTGGTTTAAATCTACTTTATTGTGTCTGTGCCGACAAGGTTTGCGATAACTTTTTTCAGTAGTGTTCCAATCAAAGATTAAAATTTATTTATTTATTTATTTTTATTGCATTTCTTAATTTAAGTTTTTTACACGTTCCAATCAACGTACCTGCATTAAGATTTTCGATAATGTTAAATTATTGGCTCATGGTCTTTCGAACATGTTATCATTAGCTTCTAAAGTAAGTTATTAGGAAAATTCAACTTTCAAGATTTTTAAGGATTATACCTTTTAATTAGTTTTATTTGATTTGGGTAATTTTACAAATAGGCTCAGTCGTGTATCAAGATCGATGCTTGTTGATGCAATTGCTATTGTACTTTTTATCATGTGTCGTCGGATATGGTAGTAGGCACGCTTATTTTTCATTAAGGACTTGAATGTGAAAGTGCTATTGCAGCTTTTGTAATTTCTATGGGAGTCCTATGTATTTATTGCGGGAATTTTATTAGGTATTATTATTATGGTTTGTATCTTTACATGGCTATATATATATATATTAACGTTCGTTGTTGAAATTGCAATTCGACAGTTTTAAATCATCGTCTTCGTTAATGGAATGGTGTTGAGTATTCAGAGATCCTTATAATTAAAAAATGTTTACCTTTTGCCACATAAAATTCTGAAGATGGAAAACTTCAATATGTAATGGAATTAATGAAATTTGAGGAGATACATTTGACAATTTCGATGAGGCCTTAGAACGTTGTGAAAATATGTTGCAAAAAGCATATGATTGGAAAGGTATTGCTGCACTTTTAAAAGCAAATCAAACTGATGCCAATTTATTTTTTTTAAAAAAATCTCCTTTGACACCATTTTTATAAGTAGAATCTAACATTCTTTTACAATAAATTATCAAAACATAGACCACGTCAGCAATTTATTCAAATTATTGATATCCCATCACATTACAAGATGACATATGATGTTCATTTTCCAATAATATTTTTTATGATCAAATTTATAAGTTCTCTTTTTTTTTAAAAAAAAAAACAACAAAAATTGGATATCTAGAAGATCCGTCAGTAGAACTTCTCCTTTTTACCATGGGCGTGAGCAGGAAAAAAAAAACCTTCACTTGTCTTAGAGTCATTTTTAAATAGTCTAGGTTAGAATGCAAATAATTTAAATAAATTGTGTAAAAACAAACCAAAAATATTTATATATTCTTAGAATCAGACCTCTTTTAGTCATGCCAAATTTATTTAAGACGTAATAAATTGCTGAGTTAATTCTGAGACAGATTTACCGATTTGATATGTGATGCAAAAATAAACTATTAAATCTTTTGCAATCAGATCAGTAGCCTACTTATATTTAACAAATATATTTATTTTCCGCGTAGAGCTGAAACCATACGCGGTCTACCAAATAATTTATATATGGTTGATCAAATAATTTAAACGCTTCGGACGCTCCAACGGTTCCCGTTACCTAGTATTTTATAGATTTTCACGGTGTCTTTCTAATTTATAAAAACGTTTGCTGTCGTAATCTATTGGCTATTCTCAACTATAATATAGAATAATAACGTAACAAAAAATATGTATTCAAATTTATTGATATCTGTTCAAATTTTTATGACAAACATAGTGGTTTACGCGATCATATATGGATAGCATGAGGCGTTATGATATTTATGAACAAATATTTGATTGATAAATGACCTGCTAACAAACTTTAATTTTAAATATAGGATGAAAAGTAGTTTTATACAATAATAAGCTCAATTCCATTGAGATTTGTGCATAAAAATTTTGAATATCCAAATTTTGTTAGCGGTTTCTGCTATAAATACAGTTCAGAAATAAGGTAATAATAAAGTTGTTTTACTTTTAAATTTCTCTTTGGACTTCTTTTTAGTTTAATCATTCATCAAAAACTAACTGAACACGTTAACTGGAAAAATTATAACGCTGGAAGTAACAACATTATTGATCAAAGTAATGAGCAATAAAGTCCCAACGTATTTATTATTATTGGAGAAGAATTGCAATATATTGTACCTTGTTAAATTATAATAATTTTTACAACACCTTCAGGTTGATTAAAGCATATAATTTTATAGTGTAGTCTCACTTAAAAAGACAATAATTTAGAAATGGTTTAGATATTGGAAAATAACTGAAAACTTACAGTAGGTAACCATAAAAATAAATAAAAAACCAAGAATTTATTACAAAATACATTATAAACTTTAGTAATTAAGAACAAAATTCTAAACTATATGTTTTATCTGTCAATTATCCCAAGTTAATAATTTTGAATACTTCAATAGCGCCCAATTTTCTAAATTCTTCAATTTTTTGATATTACTTTTTGACAGTTCTATATCCATTTCTGAACTCGAATCAATATCAAATCAATTGATAACACATAAATATTTTTTGGTGAAAATTCGACAACAATCTCTAATAATTCATGCTTGTCTAAAGGAAATTCGTAATGCTGTTAAGCCTAAACACTACGTCATTAGGATAACAAAGCTTATTTACTAACAGGGAGTTTAAGAAAGAAATAAACATGAATTTATTTAAGTTTAAGGGTCAGATTGTCTTTATTGATGATTTAAGTAGGGCAAATTTGGGAGTCTGGGTCAAAAAAAAGGTATCCAGAAAGCTCACAATCATAAACCCAAAGCTCTTTTAGCAATACGAATCCATAATATAGAATTCAGATTTAAAAACAGTACCGGCGCTCAATTTCGTTATCATATTCCTTGCTATAGATTTAAGCTTCAGAAGCTAAAATCAACCAAATTGTTATAACCTTTCTAGCCAATATTTAACCCAATTTGAATATCAAAAAAAATATACTATACTATTTGCCTTTAAAATGATGCGAGATTAGCAAGAACCAAAGGTTCGAAGCCAAACTCATAGAGTCTTTGCAAACCTTCTATGTATACTAATATTTATGCTATACTGCTTGCCTTTGGGAGTAGACTCGAATATTAAG